GACAAAGCAGTGAGTTTTGCCATATTTTTGCAGCTTTAGAATGTTTTAATATTATTTAACAGAAAAAATTGCTGGCATTTTAAATACAAATATCAGACTTCTTTAGGTTAATTTAGTATTTATTTTTTACTAGTTTGCAGGAAAAGAAAACTGTAAGTGCAAAGAAAAGTGACTTTTTGTTCTAAATATTATTTCAGAAGCTTTTTCCTAAATACTTGTGAATAAAATTACACTTGCAGTATGAGTATAATCCCTTAAAATCCCTAAATCCGTAAAAAGAAAGTTGACCCAAATGCTTAAATAAGGACTTTATTTACTGAAGTGAATATTTCTAATTCTCTTGGAGCATTGTTTTCCTTTTCCTCCTAAAATAAGACTCACTTATAAGCCTGATCCAGAAACTTCATCCTTTACATTTTGTTAGTATGCAAATTCTATAGAATCGTGCCTTGGTTGTGAACAAAGTCAAAATTCACTTTCAAATTTGAGCTTTAGTATAAATTTAGATATACTGAAAGAATTGAAATAAGAAGTGTTTGGTAATTTGGGGGGTGGCTGTGGTTACTGGGGATTGAACTCACTGAGCCACATCACCAGCCCTATTTTGTATTTTATTTAGAGACAGGGTCTCAGTTGCTTAGCGCCTTGCTTTTGCTGAGGCTGGCTTTGAACTCTTGATCCTCCTTCCTCAGCCTCCCCAGCCACTGGGATTACAGGCATGTACCACCAATCCTGGTGAGTTTGGTAATGTGTGTGTGTGTGTGTGTGTGTATATGTGTGTGTGTGTGTGTTTATGGTGCTTGGGGATCCAACCAGGGCCTGTCAAGCAATGTTAAGCAACTACTCAGTCATGGACCTATACTCCCACCCCCATATTTTTTTTTTTTGCGGGGGATAGCACTTAGCTTAACCACTGAGTCACATCGCCCAGCCCTTTTAAAATATTTTATTTAGAGACATAGTCTCTCTGAGTTGCTTAAGACCTCACTTGTCGAGGCTGGCTTTGCACTCATGATCTTCCTGCCTCAGTCTTCCAAGTCACTGGGCTTACAGGGTGGTGTGCCACCACACCTGGCCCCAGTTTTTATATATCTAAATGCTCTGTTTCTTCATTAATTGTTGTTGATTGATGTTAATTATCTAGCATTTTTATTGTGATCCCAGTGTATGAGGAATTAAAACCAAATCCAAATCTTTATTCCAGTAAAATGCTTTTCACATTTCAACTTTTGCTGTAATTAGTTTTGATTTAGTAATCTGCTTATCTGCAAACAGAAATGACGTAGAGATCCCTGTTCTGACTAAACTAAACTAAGATTTTCATTGAAAGTACCTAGATCTTATCAGTGGGAATAAATAAACTCCACTGGCCTCAGTGTATTTAACCTCAGAGGGTGTATTTATTTGCAATAAATATTGTAACTTCAAATTTATGTTTTTCCTGACTAAAGTTTTACCCTAAGACATTCTCCAGTTATGTTTATTTTGGGGGTTAGTATTGACAGCCCAATCCCCTTCTTTTTACATGTCTGTCTGACCTGCCAACTCCAGCACACCCCTTTCATCCCTGAGCCCATTGTTAGCTTACTACTCTTCCTGTCTTAGAGATGGGGTGGCCCCTTCTCTTGGCGTATCTGACCTCATCCTTGCCTTGATTTCGTCCTCCTTCTCTGCCTGCCATTCCTCAGTTTCTCCACCCTTGAAATGTTGGATATCCCAGGGCCCATCTTTGCTCCCTTCTTTTATGTTTCTCATTTTTGTTCCCAAAGCTCAGTCACCTCATGTACATGGGCTGAGTTTTTGTCTTGGACCTAGGCTTAGATGCCTTTGCTTTCTCTTAGTCTTTAGTGTGTACTAAAAAAACGGAACTCATCTCCCCAAACCTGCACTACCTTCTCTGCCTGTCTAAACTCATGGCACAGCCATCCTTGTAGACACCTAAGCCAGAGCTCTAGGAAACACATGCAATCTTCAGTACCCTCGTCTCCCCTATCCAGGTCATCCCAAGCCTGTGGATTCTGTCTGCCAGAATCTTTTTAAGTCAGCCTCTTCTCAATCTTGAGTGCTCAGTTCTTGGTTCAGTCTCCCAGTGTAGCCCATCTCCATTACCATCAGTGGTTCTGTGTAAATCTCCTGTGGTCCCCCACTCCCTGCCAGGCAGGGATTCACTTGCATTCATCTTCCACATTGCATCCCTAGTGCTGACATCTAGAGGTACCCCAGAAGAATGGAAATGAAATGAAGGGTTCAATTTCCCTGTGCAAAAAGTCAGTGCAGGTGAGTATAAGACACAGCCGTGAAGAACAGGGAACCAGGATTTCACACAAGTGGACAGGACATTGTGTCTGCATTTTTCAAAAAGCAATACTCCAACTCTGTTCTGATAAAGGAAACTGAACTTACTGGTAAAGTTTTAAAAACTTATGGGTAGAGCCTATTTTTTCGTTAGGATACACTAATAACTTAGAAGTAGTGTGTAAACAGCATTATATTTTTAACATTTACAACTTATTGTTGAAAATATATTCCGCAGTGTGCCATTTGCCTTCAGATATCCCAAAATTATTGTTTACTTTTGATCAAGATCTCAGGGATTTTTATTTTTTGAAAACCCAATTATCTTCTTTACAGCCATTTTACACATGGCTTCTTGGTGCTTCTGGATGGGAGGATGCTTTTTAACCTGTTCATCAATAACTCTTGAGTCATTTATGCCTGAATAATAGAACTCATCAGAGCAAGGGGAGATCGACTGTATATGACTATATCTTCTTTAGATTTCACTTAAAGTATCAGATTTTAGGTTGTAAAAACTACTATTGCCTCAGCTCTGACCAGCGTGTGATGTGCTCTTCAGCTGCTTCTGACTCTGTGAAGCCAGAGGACGGTTGTGTTCTCTTGCATTTGTTCCACTTACTGCTGAGTTGCCATAAGTTCATGTGACTTCACACACTTTCTCCCTACTTTGATATATAATGAAAGAACACCACTGCTTTCTTCAGTTGCCGTGGATGACACAGTATGTGGAAGCACTCAGTGTGTTAACAAGCCCCAAAGGACTGAGTAAGCTTTGAATTTTTTGCTCATGGAGTAGGGTTAATAATTGAGAAGATTCATGACTCCTGTCAAAGTAATATCACACATTGCTAAGACAGGTGGCTTGTATAGATTGGTTGTTTTGGTTTGAAAAAATAATATTTTACCACACAGAAATAACAGTTTTCTTGGAAAAATCTTAGAATGCTTAAATCTTATAAGCTTTTTTTTTCCCTCAAGAAAGAAACTGGTTGTTTTTTGCCAACATTCTGTAGTTGAATGGTTGGCAAAGGTAGGAATGAAAGCCAAACTCTTTCTTTTCTCGGTCCTGTTTTCTTTTTCTATTGATAACAATTTTGGGGCCACCACATGATATGTAATTATTTGGCAGTGTAGTAGGTAGGGAGCCACAGCATAGGTACACACTCAGTGACATCTGCCCAACTTTTAGATTAAAACTTTTTTTATTAAAAAATTTTTTTAAGTTGTTGATAGGCCTTTATTTTATTTATTTATATACAGTGCTGAGAATCGAACCCAGTGCCTCACATATACCAGGCAAGTGCACTTGCGCTGAGCCCCAGCCCCAGTTTAGATTAAACTTTTTAAAATATAAAAAGTCTGTAAAACACTTTGATTCTTTGTATGATAAAATACCTTAAGAGTATATATCCTAGTCTTTATGGCAGAAATATTAACTTCCTTCTTTTTTTATTTTATTTTGAGATGGGGCTTGCTAAGTTGCCCAGAATAGCAAAGAATTTGTGATCCTTCTGCATCAGCTTCAAAGTAGTTGGGATTACAGGTGTGCACCACCACACCTGGTTCAGAAGGGTAATCTTCAAGGCATGCTTGATATTTAGTGACAAAGGGAACACTTTTTGAGATGTTGAATCTTTATGTCAGGGACACAGAAAACGAGCACACTTTTAAAATCTACTAAAACCACCTCCCTTTATTATGCATATTGGTCTTTGACCTGAATTGGAAAGGGGATTTTTTTTCCCCCTCTAATGTTGATAAATAGACATTGGGTCTTTGGTCAATTAGACCTTCAGTTGAATTTTCCTTATATTGAAAAATGGAAAAAAAATCACTTGAGGTGTGGAAGATTAATTTCATCCCTCCTTGTCATGGGCCTGGAATATTAAACTGGTTTGTTGTGGCTGTTTATCATCTAAGCAACTGCACAGGTGTGTATTCACTGCAGTGTGGATTCATCTGTATGTCTGATCTATTTTGTTGAATCTTGTCAGAGGTTAACTTAGAGGATATAGAGGTAGAGACATCAGGGCCAGTGAGACCCTTTGGTACCTTCTTTTGATGGTGATTTTTACATTAGAAACCAAGAGCTTTGTAGTCCCTTGTGGAGCAGCCCAGCAATGTTGCTGTGAGGATATCAGCCATTGTTGCTCACTCCTTTAGTAAAACCTCCTGGCTTTGTTGTCACTCTTCATCTACTAAGAACTACAGGGTTGAATAATAGCTTGTCATTGAAGAAAATAATGATGCTGTGATCTTCATGAATAGCTTATAAGATGACTTCCCATTTATGCCATCATCTACTGAGGAAGGCCACCATGGTGTACACCATGAGATCTAGAGTAATTGAGGAATGTTTTGGTGAGCCATGTTGGAGACAAACATGGAGATGACAGCTTCTCCAGAGAACACCTTGGCTTTGGACTGGAACCTACCTAGATGTGAACCCAAGGCCTGCTGCATGGAGCTGGGCTGGTCGCTTAATTTGTAGGGCCCTCTGGTGAAGCCCCTGACACTTAAAGACATGCTTAGTGAATACTCCTGCCTCTTCTCTGGGAAGTTGTGTTTTCCTCCCTCTGCACCGTGCTTCTGCAGTGGCTGGTCTGGTGGCCCTTGTGCAGAGAGCTCAGTGTGTTGAATCCCTGGGTGTCCACGTGGTGTCGTCTGCTGAGGTCCTGATTGACGCTCTCTTTCATCTGCAGGTGCCTGAGATCATCAGCTCCATCCGCCAGGCTGGGAAGATCGCCCGCCAGGAGGAGCTGCGCTGCCCCTCGGAGTTTGACGACACGTTTGCCAAGAAGTTTGAGGTGCTCTTCTGCGGCCGCGTGACAGTGGCTCACAAGAAGGCCCCCCCAGCGCTGATTGACGAGTGCATCGAGAAGTTCAACCACGTCAGCTGCAACCAGCGGGCAGACTGGGACCGGGCACCAGAGCCCCGCAGGCCCATGCGCAAGTCCTTCTCCCAGCCCGGCCTGCGCTCTCTGGCCTTCAGGAAGGAGTTTCAGGATGCCAACCTCCGAAGCGGCAGTTTCTTCAGTTCTTTTGAGGAAAATGACATTGAGAACCACCTGATTAGTGGACACAATATTGTGCAGCCAACAGATATTGAGGAAAATCGAACTATGCTCTTCACGGTAAAATACTGTCAAATGTTGTGCTCATCTGTGGTGCGACACCTGTTCAACAGAAAATCTGCTTTATTGAGTGAAGATTCTTAGTAAATTGCTTTTGGATTTATGTGAGAATCCACATATTTTCATACTGAATAATTTTTTATTGAGGATAAAATTCTTATGTTAGCCACAAGCCTTTAAAACCACCAGAGGGAAGCATGAAGAGAATCCATCTCATGCTTGTATAATTTTTATCTTACTTCCACTTCCCATGGTTTTAAATCTACCTTTTCAATGGCGAGAATACTTCAGATATGGAAAAGAGGCCAAAAGAGGGATTTTCAAAAACATGTAATATATTTTAGCAAAATCCTTTAGGTGGAAAATATTCTCTTTACTATTGTCTTAATTTATAAAACTTTCATCCTTTGTTAATTTGGATAATTTGGTTTGTGAATAACCTTATATTTGAAGTTTATACCCAAACTGAAATATTAGTCTAGCTAGTTGCATGTTTTTTTCTTAGATGAAAATTGTTAAACTGACAGTGAATCAAATGCCAGAAAAGGATGGATAGGGGAGCTATCCCTCTTGTGGTTGGCTGCTCTGGGTTCTTTTGGGGGCTTGCCCTCCTGGGGGAGCCCCTGGGTCTGAGCTGATGCAGTGAGTGAGTCCCTACTGATGTAAGGAGCTAGTTTTCCTTGATTCCCTTTCTGTCTGTTCTTGCTTAATGCTGACTTTCCATAGTGAGTAAAATTGCCTTGAATGTAATACATTATTATGTAATCTAATGTATTCGGTGCATTATTAACCCAAGGCAGTGAAATGCTTGGAGTAATGAAGCTGGCCAGTTGGGTTAATGCTGTGTAAATGTGTGCAGTTGTAAAATCCAGGTGGTGTGACAGGGTAAACAGGACTGATTTCTTCCTCTTTCTTTGTTGACCTTGTATACTGAGTGCTGTGTCTGCAGTCAGACTTGCACTTGAATCTATGTTTAACCTATCCCTTTTTTCCCCCCACAAAAAAACTTGTCATTGAGATAATTGCTCAGTGCATTTATCTACATGTTCTTATTGTGTGACAGCTGTGTACATGGACTCTTTTTTTTGTTTTTGTACCAAGGATCAAATCCATGAAGGCTTAACTACTGAACCACGTCCCGAGGCCTTTTTTATATTTTGTTTAGAGACAGGGTCTCACTAAGTTGCTTAGGGCCTCCGTAAGTTGCTGAGGTTGGCTTTGAACTCTCAGTCCTCCTGCCTTTCAGCCTCCCGAGCCACTGGGATTACAGGCATGCGCCACTGCACCCAGCTGTACAAGCTATATATGGACAGTAGTGAATGCGACAGGCATGGTCTCTGCATGTGTGGAATTTAGATTCCAGCAAGCAAGATGGGTAGCTGATTGCATTGTTAAGTTTATCTAAGTACAATTGCCATGTATGCTGCAGAAGAGAAGTAGAAGGTGCTGTGAGAATGCTCAGGGAATCAGGAATGGCTTCTTTGAGGCAGTGATTTTTTTTTTTTTTAATGGTACCAGAGATTGAACCCAGGGGTGCCCCACCACTGAGCTTTTTATTTTTTAATTTTTATTTTGAAACAAGGTCTTGCTAAGTTGATGGGACTAGTCTAGAATTGTAACCCTACTCCCTCAACTTCCCAAGTAGTTGGGGTTACAGGCATTCTTTATTAAAGAATTCCTTTAATATCTGTCATACAACAGAAGTGCTAAAGGCATAACAAGTGTTTTCTGAGTATTTGATTTGTGATATTATATTTCTTTCTCTTTTAGAATATTAAGACAAATTATAAATATAATCTTGAAATAAAAAGATTTGCTCTTAGCAACAACAGTGCACCTGGCCAGGAGGTGATTTTTTTTTTTTTTCCACAGAGCTAAGGTTTCTATGTGGCCAACTGGCAGGGTCTTGTGGGCTCATAGAGCAGCAGGTGAGAAGGCCTGAATGGCTGAGGTGTTCGTAGGCCTCTTTATTTAGAGTGTAATTACTCTTGATTCTATCCTGATTGCTAGCAAGCTTGTATTATCTGCTTTATATTCCACATTAAGGCGCAAAGAGTTTAGAGAAGAAGGGACGCAATAATAGTGACAGCATCAGGGTGTGACCACTGACTTGTTGGTCCTGAGGAGGAATTAAATCTGTAGAAACGACACATACAGGAACCAAGAAGCTTAGCAGTATGGAGACCTGGAGCAGCTGTCTAGAGCCAGGCAGGGCACACACTCAGTTGCCAGAGGGGTGGGTTGCAGCACAGCACTCCACTCTAATAGGTGTCTTAGGACATCCCCAGTCAACATGGAGGTGTTAATTTATGCTAATGCTCCAACTTTTAAAAAAGAATCAGGTCTGTAGTGTATGAATGCCTAACAAGTTATGTGTAATCTACAAATGGTAAAAAAAAAAATTATTTCAAAGCGTTTTGGAAACTTTGTTTTCTTTCAGTATTCATTATGTAGAAACCTCCTATGCAGGTTTGTGTGTTCTGAGCTTATTGCAACTTTTAGATATTTAGTCTTTTCCTCTCAGAGAAGATTGCTGCCCTGTGTAGATGAATGTGCTTCAGTTGTCCTGTGCCACTTGAAATCTGTGGAGTAAATTTAGAAGCTTTGAAATGATTTCCCCTAACTGTATAGTTAGAACTTTATGAGAACATGCCCTTTTGCCTCTTTATTTTCATAGGTTATGACCTGCAACAGTTTATGTGATAAATTTGAATTCAACTTTCATGAGAAGCTGGTCTCTTTTTTTTTTTTTTTGTCTTTTTTAAGATTGGCCAGTCTGAAGTTTACCTCATCAGTCCTGACACCAAAAAAATAGCACTGGAGAAAAATTTTAAGGAGATATCCTTTTGCTCTCAGGTAAATGGAGACTGATTATTGGTTTGATTGCAAATGAATTAATTAAAGAATTCTTTTAATATTTGTCATACAAAAGAAGTGCTAAAGGTATAACAAGTGTTTTCTGAGTATTTGATTTGCAATATTGTGTTTCTTTCTCTTTTAGAATATTAAGGCAAATTATAAATATTATCTTGAAATAAAAAAGATTTGTTCTTAGCAAAAATATACTGGAGAAAATAGATCTACTGTAAATTTTTTTCAGTTTGTGGTATTCCCCAGTCATAATTACTAGGGTTGTGGGTCTGTGTGTATGTCTTATATATGTTTATTCAAGCATATAGTACATATGTATTTATCTTACAAAAGTTCAGAACTTTTTAGTATCAATATATCATTATTTCTTCTTCTTTAAAATAGATTAGATAGGGCTTATCTTTGAGGATGTTTTACCCAGAATGTAGTTATCTATGAAATCTTCCATATTAATAATTCCCAGGTATGTTTTATAGAGATTCATTTTAGAGGAATCTGTCAAGTATGATGAGCTGTGTCAGTTTCGTCCTTGTAAATACAAGATCACTTAAGTTAGTGTTTGGCTCTTCTTTTAAACTTTGATTTTTAGATATCTATAATAAGATATGATAAAAGTCTCAGTATTTCTTGATTTATAATGTGATCTGCTTGATTGTTCAAAAGTCATTTTTTTTCCAAAATATGAAAATAGTGATCTGTTTTTTTTTCCCACATTTTTTATTGATGCATTATAGTTGTACATAATGGTGGAGTTTGTTGTTCCATTAATGTTCTTCCTTAGTAGGTGAAATATGGAACTGTTTTCAAAGATATTTTTCTAAATTGTATTTCCTTAAGTACCCAGTATGTGTTTGATATGCTACTCGGGAACATTGATTGAGATGCCAGGCTCTATCAGGGATTACTTACTTATTACAAAATAGTTGGCCTGAAAGTGAGATTATCCACAGAATTTTCATCTTGATTTGCTTCTATTTCGGTTAAAATATTAAATGTTTTCTTTTATGATGTGATAGCTTAATTATTTCCTGAAGAAGTGCAGCCTGGGTTTCTGTAATCACCTGAACTCTAGGCTGTCAGCACTTGGCTCTGTGGGCTGGGGTTTTCAGAAGACCTTGATATGTTAATATTTATGGGGGATGTCTCATCTGTATTAAAGTTGCTTCTGTTGGCTGTTGCTTTCAAAACATGTTTATATATTGATGTTTATTTGAAAGAGCTCTTAGGAAACTGTGGTATTACTTGGCCTTAGTATCTTCTGCTTAAAGCTTCTCTATATATGTGTAATTTTTTACTCAGTTGTCAAACCAGTTTACTAAAGTATTTACTTTTTTTTTTTTTTTGTTTAGTTTTGTTTTTGGTTTATTTTTATGATACTGGAGATAAACCTAAAGCCTTGTATGTGCTAGGCAACATTGTACCACTGATCTACATCCTCATCCCCCGTACTTGTATGTTATTTTAGAAGTTTTAAATTTTTTTAACCTTTATATGTACATATGTTTGCATGTGTATGCACACACAGTTGCATTTCTTCATTAATCTTAGTTTGCCTTTGATTTTTCAATTTTTTGTGCTTTAAGAAAATTTTAAATTTTTTTGTCATATTAAAACGAGTACCAAAACTTAGTTCTCTCATGGGAGGCAATCAGAATAATAATTTAGTGGAGCAAAGTTAATTTTCTTATCCGAGAGGTGATTTTTAAATATTTTTTTTTAGAATTTTTTAATATTTATTTTTCAGTTTTTGGTGGACACAACATTTTTATTTTATTTTATGTGGTGCCGAGGATCAAACCCAGCGCCCACGCATGCCAGGCGAGCACGTTACCGCTTGAGCCGCATCCCCAGCCCCCTTTTTTTAAAAAAAAATATTTTTAAAGTTGTTGACGGACTTTTTAAAAAAAATTTTTTATTTACATGAGGTGCTGAGAATCAAACCCAGTGCCTCGCATATGAAAGGCAAGCATTCTACCACTGAGCCACAACTCCAGCCCTTATTTTAAATATTTTTTTATTTTAAAATATCCGAGGAAATAGTAATTTTATAGTATTCCTTAAAACTGTGCTGTGTAAGCTTCATTGGTGTTTAGGGCAGTGGCGTCTCTGCTGATACAACTCAACTTGCGCTTATCTTCCCTTGCCTTCCACAGGGCATCAGACACGTGGACCACTTTGGGTTTATCTGCCGGGAGTCTTCGGGAGGTGGTGGCTTCCATTTCGTCTGTTATGTGTTCCAGTGCACAAATGAAGCTCTGGTGAGAGGATGAGTGCTTCTTATCCAGAAGCTTACTGACAAGGAATTTCAACCTCACTGATTTTTCTGTCCTTAGCAAAACAGTGTAGCCTCACTGACATGTCATTATTTGGTTTTAATTATTTACTCATTATTTTCCCTAGACTTATTTGGATGTGCATTTTAAATTTAAATTATTTTTGAAGAACATGCTCACTTTCACCTTCTGGTCTAATCTAGCATTTTAAAATGGCATTGGACTTTCAATCCTGAGAGGAATTTGCTTTCCACTCAGTATTTAATTTGTATTTTTACTTTTTACCTTAGCTGCTTTAAGAGCTCTGAGCCTTTTAATTAGTATTTCTCAGATAATAATCTTAGTGTTGTTACCACTATCATCCATCAACCTGTGGAGCAAGTCCAGAATAATCTCAGACTACCAACTCTGTTCCATAGCTTTCTTGACATCTCATCCCAGCCAGTTTTAAATGGACTTTTTGCTGGCTTTAATTTCTCTTCTCTTCCATTAGGTTGATGAAATCATGATGACCCTGAAACAGGCTTTCACCGTGGCTGCAGTGCAGCAGATGGCAAAAGCGCCAGCCCAGCTGTGTGAGGGCTGCCCCTTGCAGGCCCTGCACAAGCTCTGTGAGAGGATAGAGGGTAAGTAGGGGCACTTGCAAGCTGTAATGTAGTGATGTGAAAGGCCCAGGAAAACCATAGATAGCAGCATCTGCTGCAGGATTCTGCCTAACAGAGGGTCCAAGTCCTGTTAGTCACAGGGATTGTAGGTACACTTACTGTGCAGTGGGTATCTCCTATGTGTCAGGGATTTTGTGGGATGCTGGGGATACATAGATAACTATTTCCCCCTTTTACCATCTCCCTATCCAAGGCACTCTGAGGACATTTGGGAAGTTAGAGAAACAAAGGCTACCAAACCAGTTGCCTAATGTTTATCAGTGTTGTGTTTATGGTCAGTCATGTTAGCCACTGCGGGAGATAAGGTGTAAAGAATTTTCACTAGGCTTCACCATTAGAAGGTCATCAGTACCTCTTCCTGCACTGTTTTAATGAAGAGCAGAGCAGAAGGCAAGTTGCAGTCAAGGAGTGAATGGGAAAGCGTCACAGGTGCAGTGACTGTATGACCTTGGCTTCTAGAAACTTAGTGCAGGGAGAATCTGTAATGAAATGTTAGGGTTTGCTGCTGATATTTACTGAAGATGTGCCAGGCACAGTGCTAAGTACTTTCTTTATTATCCTTTTAATCTTTTCTGTGTTTGTGGGAAGGAAAGGCCTCATTTATTTTGCATATTTAAATAAACTACTGTCTAATGAGCTCAGGATCCCGCCCCAGGTGGCTGTTACTTGCAGCTCTTGTCTTGGCAGAGACAAAGACAAAAAATGCTCAGGGAAGACCCTGGGTATCATCTGACTACTACTACTACTTCTTTTTTTTTTTTTAAAGATTTTTAAAAAAATATGGACACAATATCTTTATTTTATTTATTTTTATGTGGTGTTGAGGATGGAACCCAGTGCCTCACCTGCAAGGCAAGTGCTCTGCTGCTGAGCTATATATAACCCCAGCCCTTCATCTGACTGCTTTTTTAGAATTGGAGAGAAGTTTGAGCATGGTCAGGGTGGACTGGAGGGGTCCCTCCTGAAGGAGGGTGGGAAATATACTTCAGGCAGGAAAGGAGATTCCGGTTGTCTCTCTTCCTGAGTGGGGACAAGGAGGAGCTGAGGTATGAGTGGTTTGGTGCCCACTGAGGGAATACAGAGGTGAAGGGGTTTATGCCTCGGTTTTTTTGATTTTTGTATCTTTCCATTTATGGAAAAATCTCTCAAACATTTTTGTGTGGTTTTCAAGTGTTGCATGATTTAAATTATGCACATTAAAAAAGCAAACAAAGATTTCATTTCTTGTGTATCTAGAATACTTATTATACACTATAAGTGAAAAGAAAAACCACATTGATAGTCAGATCTGAGTTCCTTTTTTATTGTAAAAATACACATAAAAAATTTGCCATTTTAATTTTTTTTTAAAAGCGTGCAGTTGAGTAGCATTAAATCTATTTACATTATTGGGTAACCATCATCACCATCAATCTTTTTTATCTCCCCCAAATGCAGCCCCTTAAATACTAACTCCTTTGTTCTACTCCCAACCTCTGGCATCTACCATTCTATTTTTTGTTTCTGGGAATTGAATTACTCCAGGTAAATTATATAAGTGGAATTATATAGTATTTGTCTTCTTATTTCTGGTTTATTTCACTTAGCATAATGTCTTCTCAAATTTTTTCATGTTGTAGCTGTGTCAGAATTTCATTTCTTTTTTAAGGCTGAATAATATTTTATCACACATATATACAACATTTTAATTATTTATTTATTTGTGGACATTGGTTTGTTTCCATCTTTTGGCGATTGGTGTACAAATATCTGTCCAAGTTTCTGCTTTCAGTTGTTTTGAAGTTGACATTGCTGGATCATATGGCAATTCTATGCTTAATTTTTGTAGGAAGATCCATAATATTCTCCAACAGTTACACCATTTTACATTCCCACTGTCACTGCAGTTGACAATTTGCAATTTTTTTACATCCCCACCAAAACTCGTTATTTTGTTTTTCTTTTAAAATAACTATTTAATGAATTAAATGAAATTAATCAAATTTGCTATATATAGAATTTAACATTACAACCTCCAACTCTTCCATGTTAATCCCTTGTTCCAGTGAAGAAATTAAATTCTAACAAACTATTTTTTCTTCATTGTTCCTTTAATGAGTTCCAAACCATCTTTTCTTCCTTGATTTTTCTCTCATTTTTCTTGGCTCCAACTAGTAGGGGAGTGGTCTCAGTAAAGTGTGAGGCCATCAGAATCGAGGTATTCTTTCAGCTCTGGGGAGATCTTTTAATGTGACAGGTTCAGCTTCTTCAGCAACAACTTCCATGGGGCTGAGACACAAAAACAGGACCTCACTTATAAAGAAGATCCTCATATGGGCCACCAAGAGACATCATGGGAAGAGATGTCTCTGAAGAAGGGTCCGGGAAGTTCCCAGAGAGAAGTCAGGACCAGCAAGGTTCTTGACATGCATGACGCATAAAGAATTTGAGCATGTCCAAGTCAGAGACAGAGATTTATTTAGGAAAGCAAAGGAACATTCAAGGGAGCATGTGGGCCGTCTTCAGAGGGAGAAACAGCAAACAAAGAAACAGCCTTTTTTCTTTCTTTTTTGATGATAGCCATCTTAATGGATGTGACATGGTATCTGATTTCTCCTTTAAAGTAAGATAGATTAATAGGTGACATTTTAAAGTCTGGGAACGTTCATTGTGTGTACAGTGCTCTTCAAAGTGAACATGATTCATATGTTTGACTCTGTTTTCCAAGTTGTTGCTATTTGCTGACATTAAGCAAAATATTTCTGGGAATGAGAGAAGTTTTGCTTTAACTAGCGCTCCCAACCCAGAGGATCACTAACCCTTTCCTAGTGGTTGTCAAGATAAGGCAAATGATGACGGAAATGTCCCTTAAGAGCTTATTAAGAAGCCAGCCATGACTTTGGCCTTGAAGATAAAGCAGATCATGATCTGCAGAACTGGAATACTTCCAGGATTCCACTTGATAAATCTTTCTTTGGTCTGGCTTAGATTTAAGAAAGTTAAAACTGAAAAGTTTTAAAACTGCTGTAGTTTTAGAAATTATCATTTAATCCTTTTTTTTTTTTTTCCACAAAATTCAGCCAAGGCAAAAAGTTCTACTACTATAAGAACAAGCCATTAAACAGTGCCCTCAGAAGTCTGGGAGGTATGTTTTACCTATATGAAAAGAAGCTTTTCTAGAACTATGAGTGGCACATTATCAGAAGCATCCTTAGCAAAGGAGATGTTGATTATTTTAAGGACAGTTTTGGAGTTCCTTGCTTTTTGCTCTTGTGTTCCTAATAAGTAGAATGAAGAGGTTTTTAAAATGATTGATTGTATGCTGCTTTAAGGGTAGTCCTAACAGGAAGTTATGATTTGACCAAGAACTCCATAAATGTGGAATGGACCAGTGACATGGTCACAAGGAGAATTAGAGACTGTGTTTTTTTAATTGGTTGATGTCATTAACTTATGCCCCAGAATCTGTAAAATAGAATAAATACACTGTAGGTGCCAGTGATGTTGGAGAAGCCACTCAAAATGCAGGTGCAACCTATAAGAGGTGCAGCTTTCCTCAGTCCTGTGCTTGAACTATGTGACTCTGCAGGCACCATGGTGTGTATGTGGTACTTAAAGTTCAGAGGAGCATTTGGGGGATTACTAAAATAATTACACTCTCTCTGGGACAAAAAGGATAGATCTTTTAAGCACCTGCAGTTTGAGGTGGCCTTGCTAATAATGAGAATCCCCTCTACTCCGGTACCCTTTCCTGCTTTGTTCTTGCCTGTGCCCCCAAACTCTTTTGGCATCACATGGGGCCCTGGAGGGGAGATGCCTTCAGCATGGTTGTTGGAGTGGCAGAAGGTAGAGAGAAGCCATGTGGAAGGTGCTGAGACCTGAGTGGGACTGGTGGGTTTAAAATGAGCAGAAATAACCTGGTGCCTGAATAACCTGATGCCTGATCAGGCTGAGACTGCAGGATCCCTTCATAGTGCTGGAATGAAGAAGAGGCTGTGCCCTCTGATTTCACCTGAAATTGTCAAGCATATAGTCTAACTCTTCTAGTCTGATGCTCCTTAAAGCTTAGGGATTTTCTCCACTTGTGAATGTTTCATCAAATAATGTGCTGTTTCCAAAACATGAAGCCTAGATGGTGTCAGAGATGTCTGCCATTTTGGGGGAGGATTTTTAACTAGTGATTACTAAGTGTTTACTTATTCATAAATGTAAGCATATTTTGCTTCCACATTTAAGTAGTTTGTTTTTGTAATGCTGGGGATTGAACTCAGGGCCTCATGCACGAGGAGCAGGCACTCTGCCACTGAGCTACATCCCCAGCCCCACATTAAGTGGTTGATACCATGAAACCTGTGTCAACTTCCCTGGCTTTATATGACAGACGGCTGGCCAGGAGAGTATGTGAATTGCATGTCAACAAACCCACCTATCTTTGCACCTTAGCCCACCTTTGAATCCACTCTCTTTTGAAGCCACCTGGATCAGGAGACTTGGCTCTCCTAATCAAGGGAGTTGGTAGAATCTTTCAGTTTGGGTTCTGGAGGCAGACAGATGAGGTTCAGATTCTAACTGTAACTTGACTGATGACCTTGGACAAATGCTTGACTTTGTTGTGTCTCAGTTCCTTATCTATACTTCCTAAAAACACAGTGCCTACTTCAAGGATAATTTTGAGGAATAAATGTGATAGTGCCCATGAAGTGTTAGGGAAGTGGGATACCACTCACAAAATGTTGGGTAGCCTCTTGGGATTATCTTGGGTTCAAACAAATAAAAGAGAATGATTTCTAGATGCAGAGATTGCAGCAGCAATGAGACAGGGCAGCCACTTCTGTCTCAGCTCAGCCATTAGGTGCGGGCTGCTGGGCCTCCTGACCTGGCAGTCGCCTGCTTCTCTGGGTTTTAGCTGTAAGGTAAAGGTATGGTGTCCAAGTTCCTACAGACAAGCCCCTGCCCAGGGGCACCCCCAAGGATGAGCAGGGAGTGGTCTTAGGTAAGGAGGACTACCTTTGGGACAAGAGGAACCGGGGGCAGTTTTTTTCTTATGTCAATTGGGTCAGCAAATTCTTTCATTCTCAATCTTCTCATCTTGTGTGGCTTTTATCTCTGGTCATCAAGGAAACACAAAACAGGGCCTAAGTCATATTTGTGTGGGGATGGAATTTCTTAAATATCAGATTCTGGTGGGCACTAAAATTTTACATAGTGATTTTATTCTTATAACGGTACCTTAACCCTTTGTGATGTTAATCAAATGGGCTAAACACTATTAGTAAATGTGATAGGAAAGGAAGATTGTTAGCTACATGAATTAATTTTATGTGAAAGAAATCTCATGCAAGAGAAAAATGTAGGTCACTTTTCAAAAACCAAGAGTAATCGTTTTTTTCTTCAAAAAAAGTTTTCGTGTTTACGTATAAATGTCCACGTGAATTTATGGTTTTTCTGAGGAGAATGTTCTGATTGTATGAAGTGTTTTAACATGGAGAAAGTAATTTAGAACCTTGCAGACTTGAGGAAGAGTCCAAGTGGGTGGTCTTTGGAAATTATGTGGATCCTCTGGGCCTCAGTTTTCCTAACTGAAATGGGGGTAACAGCACCCTCTTCATCACCCTCTTCACCCTGTTTTGAGAATCACAGGAAATGATGCAGGTGCTCCAGAGAGGTGCTCAATACAGTGCCTACGACATCAGCGCTCATTTGAAAGGTGGTGACAGTGCTAACACTGGGACACTCACCAATGGGAATTCCCACAGAACCTTGGCAGCCTGAAGTGGGTGGGTAAGGAATGAAGGGAGGGAGCCCGGAAGACGATGCTAAGTAGCTTTTCATGTCTCTTTTTCCCCCCCCTCTCAACAGGAATGAATTCTTCCAAAACCAAACTAGAACTCCAAAAACACCTGACAACATTAACTAATCAGGAACAGGCAACTATTTTTGAGGAGGTTCAGGTACAGTACATAGTTTTTAATTTCTAGCGGGAGAGAAAAGGCAGGCTCTGACCTGTGAACTGTTCTGTGCAGAGAGTAGTGAAGTGGTGTTGTCACAGCCGGAGGAAGGGCCCCAGGTTCCTCTTGGTGTTAGCTCTAACGGTCCTGCAGAGAGACCGCTGCATCAGAACTGCAGAGTCACTTCACGCTCAGCTTCCAAGGGGAAACTGATGAAAAGTGACATCTCTCCTAGAAAACTGTGTTAGACTAGAGGGGAAATTGCAAAAGGGAAAGAACCTCAGCCTGGAAGAGAGGACCTGCATGGTGGTCTCCACACTGTCCTCTGCCCCCTGGGAACTTCTGCTAGCCCCTTCCTACTCCGCTTTTCCCTGAGTGTGGCAATTAAATGAAACGTTTTGTATGTGAATTTGAACACAGCTGTCTCTCCCCCCGATTTTTTTTTTTTTAAGTTTTAAAAATAAATTTAGATCATATTATCTACTTAGAATCATATAAGATATCAAACTAGAAATTAAAAAAAAAAAACCACAAAACAGAATAATAACCAAGTTCATCAACTTTCTGATTTAAACAACCTGGAAAGCAGCTCTTTACGCAGCGTTTTGCTGCAGCATATCTTGGGGAAACACTGCCGCGTATGCTGGCATGTCTGTGGTCTTTCTGCATGAATCTGTAATGAGCTCTTCACAAATTTCATATCTGCTTTAGCTCCAAAGCATTTTCTATGGTTTCCTTTCACTTTTCTAGGTAGGTGAACACCCTAGGACAGAGAGTAAATATCTTTTTTTTGGAGGGGGACACAGTGACCAGGAGGTTCTACAAATAAAGGAGAATTGAGCAAAACGGGACTGGCCATTGTGTGGGCTGAGTTCTCTCTCCTCGCTCACTGTGGAAAGTCTCCAGATAGGGCCCACAATCTATTTTTTTTTTAAATTTCTGTGAAAGATTAAAGTAGTGTCCTTTTTTAATCATATGCTAGCGTTCTTCTGTTTCCTTGTTCTCCTCCTGCTGTGGGATTGGCACCTACTTGTAGAAAAAAAAGAAAAACATGGAAATTTTTTAAATTTCACAAATGGCCCAGAGGGTAATTGCTCCTTCCTTTGTTTTTATTTTCTGAATCAACTACTCACTACTTTATCAAGACTCACTACTTTATTTTTTCTTAAAGAATCCTCTTAGACAAATGTAATGTGATTTGTACTTGGAATTCAGAAATAGATGGACCATTTGCTGCTAATTATTAATGTACTTAGACTTGAAGCCTAGGCACAGTGATGACCCACTTCCTGGCCTAGCGTTGCCAAGTCAGTTTGGGGAGCATCTTCCTGGCAAGTGTGAAGCACAAACCTCCCTGCCTAGTGTGGGTTTTCACTTTTATTTAGGCAGCGGCACATGGCTTTCCCTAAAATGGTGCGGTGACTCAGTGTAGGCAAATGTTCTGAAGCAGTAAGGAGCTGCTATTGGGTATGATTCTGAGAGCCTCTTCTCCATGCAGGATTTCAGATATCCCACACATTATGGCAAAGAGACTTCAGGAAAAACAAACAAAAAGGTGATGAAAGTTTACTTAAAAAAAAAAAAGTTCAGTTAATATCCCAGAGTCCAATGTGTTTTCTAGACTCTGCAGAATTTTTGGTTGCTCTGAACCAAAGAGAAGTGACACTGTCCATTGGCTTGAAAAGTCCAGCTCATATTTTGGTTGTCAGCATGGCTCTTTCTTGAATGATACAAACTGACTTGGCTTTTTTCCTCTGATAGCTTATTAATGGTCTTTGTGGTTTTCTTATGGTATTTTCTAAACCAAGTCCTTGTTTCTTTTTAGGTAGCACTGCCTGATAATCTGTTTGAAAAATGTACATTTCAAAAAGAGAAAGGCAGATTTGCTGTTTTATGAATCCTCTTATAATGGAATAGTATATGTTTCTTGGTAGTCTTTGCTGGAGGGTACTTTGTGTCAAGGGCAAATTTTCATGAGGCAATTAATTATTATTAAAATTAATGGCTTATATTAAATAGTTTTGAAAGCATACATACCATATTTAGTTTTTTGTAAATGAATGTTTAATGTAAAAAAAAATACAGAACCATGAAGAAAAATAAATATCTATGGAAATGATATGGGGGACAGTTGCTGCTAACTTTGAGTACCCCTAGGGGTCAGATGGGCATGTGGGCATTAGCCCTTCTGCTTACTTAAGACAGGACGCGTGGTACCACAGAGCCAACTTTTATCTATGACCTGTTTGGTGTGATTTTTAAACACACCTGGCACATATGAAGATGATGCCCTGGCCTCTTGCTCTCCTGCTGTGACACTGCCACAGGTTGCATAGGTATAGATGGGTTGCCTTGAGCATGAAGAATTACTTTTCAAGATGAAGTAGGGCTAGTTTAAAAAAAAAAAAAAAAGCCTCAAAGTCTAATTCTTGGAATGATTGTATTTCAGAGAATGATGTAATTAAATACTGAACGGATGATAAATCAAGTAGATTTATATTCAGTAGGCATCAGTGATTCATTAAATAGCATGACTTTTCACAAGTTAAGGATTAATGGTCAGAAGAAACTTCACTTTTTAAAGCATGTATATCAAATTGGTTGGATTTCCCATGGTTTTAAAAATTATTTCATATAAAGATTTGATTATGATTTTTAAAAAGATATCAAAATGTTGTATTCAAATGAAGTCTTTTAAATTTTTATTTTTTAATGTCTTAAAATTTTTTACACTTTTTTCAAATACACTTGTTCTTTTGAACAACCCCTTGCTTTTTGCTTGTAATTTTTTCTTCTATTTTTTCCCCCACAGTTATTATTAGTGCATTATAGTTGTACAGAGTGATGGGATTTGTTGTTACATATTTGTGCATGTATACAATGTGACCTTATAATTTGGCCAATATCACTTCCCAGCAGTTTTCCCCTCTCTCCCTACCTCCCACCTGCATTGCCCTTTTAAATAGGTCCTTAGGAACACCACTGACTTAATTAGTACTGTGGTATTCATTATTTGTGTTGGAAATTTATTTTTCAGTGACCTTTACAATTTTACAAGATGCTCATAGAAATGAGGTTAAGAAATGTGACAAAAATGGTGTTACTTTCAGCAGGTAATTTGTTGTTTTTTAAAATTTGGAATTGAAGTGTAACATACCTGTAGAAGAACACACATATTAATGGTGTGTAGTTCAGTGACTTTTTATTTTGGTGGTGCTGGAGATTGAATCCAGGGCCTCAGGCATGCTTGGCAAGCACTCTATCACTGAGCAACATCCTCAGCCCTCTTTGATTTTGAGACAGGGTCTCACTGAGTTGCCAGGGCTGGTCTTGAACTTACATCCTCTTGCCTCCTCTTGAGTACCTGGGATTACAGGTGTATGCCACCACTTCCAGTTCAGTGAATTTTTGTAAGGTGAACATACCTATGAATCCAGAGCCAAGAAAAGAAATCGAGCCCCTCCAGTGCCACAGAGTCCTACCTGGTTACTGCCCCCCACCCTACCCAACCATCATACAAATTTTTGACACCATAGGTTGTGTACAATCATGTGACTTTATGAACTAGCATGTGATTTTTTGACTGCAAAGTTCTGTTATACAAGTTTATTCTCCATTATTTTTTTTTTAATTTGTCTGATTAATGAATGAATGCCATACTTTTAAGAAATAATGATTTGCCACTCTTGAGAATGGTGAGGTCTCTTGAGAATTTTCAGGGTAGTGACATTTGGCTAATCTGTTTGAACCCAATAGGAGGGCAGCCTCTCTTCAAATTTCAGAATCATTTTGAGAAAAGATTTAGTTCTTGACCTTGTGTGACCCCCATACACATGTGACTCTGCAGTAGCAACTTCCTCTGATACGTGGCAGCTCTGGGATGTGATCTCTGATTTAGGGGCTTCAGTTTCAAATGGGAAGTAATTGTGGGAGTGCACTGCGCCCAGTTGTCCTGTCATTTTCTGCCTCGGGTAGTTTCTTTCATGTACATTTGAAGGAAAAAAAATGTACTAATACTCCTCCTTTTTTGGTATTTTGAAATAAACAATCAAGAAGAGTCTTTCTAAGCAAAGCACACATTTTCCCGTGAGTAGCCCAGGGTTTAAAGATACAGGAAGCAAAGAGCAGGTCAACCTACCGCTGCCTGCCCCTGCTCAGAGGCCTCTCATGATTCCTGTCTGCTTCCCTCGGCCTTTTTAAAAGCAGTTATTTTAGGTTTACAGAAAAATTGGGTGGAAAGTACAGAGAGTTCCCTTATAACTTTACAATTTCCTCTTATTGTTAACATCTTGCATTGGTGTGGTACATGTGTTACAACTGATGAGCCAGTATTTGGTACGTTATTAACTAAAGCTCATAGTTGACATTAGGGTTCTCTCCGTTATACGTTATAGGGTTTTAACAAATGTATAATGTCTTGTGCCCATCATTACAGATCACATAAAGTAGTTTCACTGCTCTAAAAATCCCTTGTGGTCAGCCTGTGTATCCTCCTTTTCTTCCAATCTCTGACAGCCACTGAATTTTTTTTTCTTTACAGTTTTCATAGTCTTACCTTTTCCAGACTGTTATGTTGTTGAAATTACACAGCATACAGCTTTTTCAGGATGGCTTAATAATATGAGGTCCCTCCATATCTTTTTGTGGCTTGGCAGCTCATCTCTTTCTGTTGCTGAGTAATACCCCATCCCATGGATGTGCTGCAGTTTATTTATCCATCTGCCTATTGTAGGACATGTTGGTTGCTTCCAAGTATTGATAATTATGAATAAAGCCGCTGTAAACATCCATGTACAGGTTTGTGTATGGACATGTGTCTTCAGCTCATTTGGGTAAATGCCAAGGAGTATAATTGCTAGTTCATGTGATAAGGGTAATTTAATTTTATAAGGAACTGCAAAACTGTCTTCCACAGCAGCTGTACTGTTTTGTAGTCCCACCAGCAATGAATGAGAGCTTCTGTTGTTCTGTAGACTTTTAGTCTCAGTATATCCGTAACCTTCTTGGGATCTAGAAGTAATTAAGTTGGATCGTGGCATTTGCACACTACTTTCCTTTTTTGAGGTTCTAATACAAACTTTTTCTGTAACAAAACACTTGTTGCATATAGCATGTAAAATTTCATAAAGTCAGTACCCATAGTTTGGAACCCAGGTCTGTTTGACCTCTAAAATATTTAATACTGAAATCTTAAATTTGAAAAGAGCAAGAGGTCCTCCATGAAAATAAACCCTCCTAATCATCTACCGTCTTTCCTTAAATAATAGGAACAACTTGTCTTTTGCATAATTTGCTCCTTCAAGGGAGGGTACTCTAGAAGGTCTGAATTATGGTCCATCACCTTTGCTTTTAATACTTACAACATGAAGGATAATAAATATCAAGAGTAACCTTGACCCAGAATCAGCTGCTTGTGTAGTTGATCCACTTAGCACACCCTGTCTTTGGGTTAAAGGAAGGCTGAAAGTCTAGAGTTAGAGAAGGAAGACAGGACAGTGAATAACTGTCAGTATAAGAGATATATTTCTCAAGTTTATAGATCAGAAATTATCTCCAGAGTTTTTTTGTATTCCTCACATTCAGAGAAAATAATATGTTAAATTAGATGACCTTATAAAAATGGACTCTTGATTTTTCAAATCCAAATAACGTGGGAGCTGGAGGAAACCTTGGAATTTATGTTGTGCACAGTTCTCATTTTAAATGGGGGCGGGGCAGGACTAAGGCAGAATGACTTTGCTCTAGTTAGCAGCTAGAACCTACATGTCTTGATTTCTAGTCCAGTGGTGCTTTGCCAATTCTCTATCTAAAAATTAAAAGGCTTAAAATTTAGAGGAAGGAGGAATGGAGGGAGGGATGGGAGAGGGAAAGAACAGCTATGAAGTTTTGTGTGGAAGCTTGTGCCTCACGGGATTACTCAGAAGTGCTTCATGATGAACATATTTGGCTCATGAAACTGTGACCCTGAATCCAGTTACTGTGTTCCCTAACTAAAAGAGCTTATGATGATGACTCTTGACCTCTGGGTGTTTACATGGATCTTGTTTCTTCCTTGTGTTTTAAAAATTGTTTATTAAACATTTTTGCCTGCCTCTATCTGATGTTTAATTTTTCTTAGAACATCAGATATCAAAAGTTAAATCTGAACCGCTAGCACCACTGTCTGTCCTTTTTTAAGTTGTCTTCACTAGTAGGATTGTTGGCGCCCCCTGGTGAGATGATTAAATAAAAGCACCAATCTAGGTGGAAGCTGTTTGCACTTCCAAAGCGATGGTTTAGCAATTTTGTTGATAATTAAGAATAAATGTAATATATTTTGTTTCTGATTTTTTAAAAGAAATTGAGACCAAGGAGTGAGCAGCGAGAGAATGAATTGATCATTTCTTTTTTGAGATGTTTGTATGAAGAGAAGCAGAAAGAACATATCCACGTCGGGGAGATGAAGCAGGTAGGTCACTTTTGTCTCTTACAAACTTTTACTGGGACAGTATACGCAGAGTCTTGGGGATTTTCTGAAAGCTGAAACATTTTTTTCTTCCTGTTTTCTTTTCATTTGTTACACATATAGGGGAAATTTGGCAGGGCTAGATTATGCTTGGAGAAGATGAGAGAAGTTTCTGTGTCTCCTGGGGGTTAGAGCAGGTGCTCTGATCTGGAGAATTAAGTTCAGAATGGATACTGCCTTGGGAGCTGTGTGACTTGCTGAGAGCTGGTCTGTGTGGCTTTACCTTTCTCCCTTAGGAAATGGGAATGACATTGCATGGTTGCCTTTGGAATTACACAGAATACCTTCAAGTCTTTTATAGTGTAAATGCTTTGAAACTGTAAGGTAGTCAAAATAACATGCCAAATACGGTGTTACACAGTTTGGTTTAAGTGTTATTAGCCTCCCTCCTATCTTCTGTCCACAAGCTTTATTTAGGTTTGCTGTTGATGGGGTACCTTGTCAGGGGCTGGGGCTACCTGCCTTCAAAAACCTTTGAGTTTAGGGTTTATTGTACGTGGTGCACTGGTTCATTTTCCTATGTCTCTTAACGCCGTGTGAATCAGTTCATCATTAACAGATTCAAACCATATGTGTTTTATATTTTCAGAAAATTTAGATAAAAATCAGTATTACTGACAGTGTTAAAGTTTCTTAGTTTGCAGAAGCATCCTGCCTTTACCTTTTTTTTTTTTTTTTTGGTTCTGGAGATTGAACCATGGGTGCTTTTCCAGTGAGCTACATTCCCCAACCTTTTTTATTTTTAAACTTATGAGACAGAGTCTCACTAAGTTGCTGTAGGGCATTGCTAAATTGCTGAAGCAGGCTTTGAACTTGAGTTTCTCCTCCTTGCCTTACCCTCCCAAGTTGCTGGGATTACAGGCATGTGCCACTGCACCCAGTGTGCCTTTATCTTTTTTAACCTTGTGTGAGTACCTATTCCAAAGGCAAAAGGCGTGTTAGTGCTCAGTGCTCTGCTCTCCCCATGGGTGCCCTTCACTATTCAGAAACCTAAACTGAAGCAGTGTTTTTGTGGGGTCCATATTATAATTATATAGAATGGTGAGATTCATTATTACATATTTGTGCATGCACACAATGTAACAATATAATTTGGCCAATCTTGGTGCAGTTTTAATTGGATATGCACTTAGCAACTCCCCTCATTTGACTTCTGCCTTCTGGTTGACTTTGACAATCAGTCCTTCTGAATTCTTAGAGCTCCTGTTCAATGTCCCATATGGTTTGTTTTCATTGACAACCTAGGGCCCCACAGCAGTGGCGCTGATGTCAGTATGTCATGTCTTTGGATCTTGACTATGGTTTGCTGCTGTTCTTTGCTCCCTAGCCTGGACCTGGAGGAAAGCCTTGGGTTCCAAGTCTCCTGTCCACTTGTGAATGGATCTCCCCAATTGGTTTCCAATGAATCCCCTAGTGCACTTTTCAACCCATTTCTTTTTCTTCTCTGTACCTTTTAAAAATTTTTCTTGTGTGCTTACTGAGTCAGTCAATTTCCTTGTTCCAACAGGAAATTGATAATTTTGAAGTAATTCTTAACTGTCAGGGAAATGAATGAAGCATTTATGGTAGATGGAAAGTTTTGACCTAAGTGCAAACTCAATTTTATGGACCAGTGTAATATCTTTATGGTTTGGGCATAGATCTGTCCAGTGGAGAAATATATTCAATTTTTTGAGAATTTTCCATTTTCGAAACAGTAGTTAGTGGAAATGAGAGCCTTACCAGCAGAACTGGGCTCTGCAACACTTTGACTAGGAGTTTCTAAACAGTGGCCTGGAAGGCTTGTGGCTGTGGCTGTAATTATGGTTGGCAGTTCCAGGCTGGATACTTCATGGGCTCTGAGCAGCAAGATTTCAGAGCGCTAACAGCCTTATAGATGGATCACATTTATGAAATTCACAGATGGAATCCTGGTTGCTTTTTTTGCTGTCAGATAGTTTAACCCCATGGATTTTGTTGCCTTTTTGATGTATCTAAATTCCCATGGTTTTTGGAAATGTACTGTGATGTGACCTAGGCAGGTCTTCTCTGTACCTTTTAAAAGGATCATGACTCTGACAAACAACTTCCCTAGTCATCAGTCTTCGAATTGGTGGAGGATAATGAGTCTTAGTCAGCACACATCAGTAGTGACATGTGTGAACTTTTCAGAATAAAAGGATAGTGTTGAGTGCTGACAGAAGAGCTGATTTTTATCAAAAAGAAACTGAACAATTTTTTTGATCTTATGGAAAAGGAGTCAGTTTGGGCAAAGACCAGCAGTTAACACACACACACACACACACACACACACACACACACACTTAGAGGATGTCTTGTCTTAGTGGGCATATCATTTCTACTTGTATCTGCAGGGAATGTACAAAAATTAATATTAAATCAACTGTGACTTGCTGAATGCTGCTACGCATCAGATGCAGTTCTCATTCCTAATGTATATTATTCTGTTCATGCTGCAACCGTGTTTTTGTGGTAGGAAGTAACAATCCCATTTTAGAGATGAGAAAAAGGGAACAGAGGTCAACCAGTTAGCTTATGTGCAGCCAAGCCTATTCTGATCATGATTTTTTAAAGGAATTTAACAAAAGGTAATGCTATATAACTACTAATGGGTTAGTCTGGGTCCATTTTCCAGTAGATGAGTTTGTTCGTCTTCCTTTCTTTCTGACATTTTATTAGGAAAGTTTCAAACATACTGAAAGGTTGAAAGGATTCTGCCATGCATTCAGATGTCCTCTAGATTTTGCAGACTTTAACATTCTATTAGATCTGCTCTATTATGCATCTGTCCATCTTTTAGTTCACCTTGTTTTTTTGATGCCTTTTGGAGAAAGTTTCTTATAAGCTCTTTATCCCTAAAAACTTGAGCATGCATCTTATTAAGTAGAATTCGGTATTCATTTTTAACTTTCGGGAGGTAAAATTTGTTCATAGCAAGTCACATGAATCATCCCTGTAGCATCCACTGAGTTTTGAGGACTGCTACACTAGGTCACCCGAACATGAGGATGTGGAGCATCTCTGTCACTCCAGACAGGACCCCATTATCTTTCTTTAGTCTGTCCTCACTACCTCCTCCTCCGGCCACCACTGAGTTGTTTCTCACCCTAGATTAGTCTTGCACGTTCCAGAACTTGTCATAAGTGAAATCTTGCAGTGTGTGTTTTTATTTCTGGCTTTGTCCTCTTACCATGGCCTTTCCAAGCCTTGTCCCTGCTCTTGTGCATATCAGCAGTTCATGCTTTGTGGGTCATACTGTGACTGTTGCATTCTCTCCATGCTTTTTCTGTAAAAGAGGCTGCTGGTGGTGCCATCCTGGGACTATAGGTTCCAGATTGAGAACAGTGTTGCATCAGTTTATCACTTGTGTCCAAGCTCTCACACTCAGACTTTCCCACCCATTAAAGTATGGACAGTGTGATGACTGTAGTAGAATTCACTGTGGAGCCCCCAAATTATAAATTAATTATCTAAGAACCAGTATCATCTTCAAAGGAGAGACTTCTAGATTTATATTTTTAGATAAACATGAATATTGTTTTCTAAATTGTTTGCACATTACCTCCAAATTATATTTAGATTATCACCTTCTATGTCAGACTAGAAGGTTATCATCTTCTAGTCATAGAAAAGAATCTGTTTAGAGGTAGAAGAGAGCAAAAACAGCACTGAATTAGGTGAATACCTAATACACATATATAATATATATGAAGAGAGATTCAGGCCTTGTTTAAAAACTTACACAAGTATAGTTTATTGTCTCTCTATGTGGGATTTACTATTACTGCTTTTTTTAGACATTCAGCCAATATTTTCCTTACCTGTCAGAACCGACAATACAGTTTGATTCTCTTTTTATGAAAATCTTATTCTCAGTTTGAAAGCATTTCTGTGTGGGTAAACTGGTGTTAAAATCAGCTCCCTAAGGGCCCTTTGTAGATAATTTCCTTTACCCTGGAGACTGTCTCAAGTGTGAGCAGGCTTCTGTTCTTAGGAAATGATAGCACAGGACCCATCTCAACTGTCAAAGCACCTGCCTATAGTGTACAGCATTACCAGGCACTAAGCTAGTATTTGCAAAGCCAGTTGCATGCTGCCTCAGGTGTGTGTCTCGAGGGGTTTGCCTGGTGATCACCACTCATCCTTTCTCTCTCTCTCTCTCTCTCTCTCTCTCTCTCTCTGGTACCGGAGATTGAACCCAATGGTGCTTAAACCACTGAGTCATATCCCCAGGCTTTTTTATATTTTATTTAGAGCCAGCGTCTTGTGAAGTTGCTTAGGGCTTTACTAAATGCTAAGGCTGGTCTTGAACTTGCAATCCTCCTGCCTTAGCCTCCCGAGCCAGGCAAGCGCCACCGCTCCTGGCCATCCTCTCCCTCTTCATCAAGCTTGTCTGTCCAGAGATTGTACGTTCAAGACTAAGAAAACACAAAAGTAAGTGGCAGTCTCCCTTCTAGAAGGAATTTCCAAGCCAATAATCATTTTTTGAGGTATGTTCTTATACAAAGCTGAATGTATTTCTTAGCGTAACCTTTTCTTTGCCTTGAAAACTGTGTAATGTTCATTGGAAAATTAGGGTTTCATTATTTCAGAGAAAATGTACTATCTTTGAGCATCAGATTACTGAATGAAATTAAAAGATGCTTAATAGCGATAGGAATCAAGGAAGGCATATTGAGGACATCTTATGCCTATCATATTGACAGAAATGTAAATATATAATATCCTGTAAATGTGACTCTCCTGTGCTAATTCTGGTACTGTGCATTGGTACCATTTAGGGAAGAGAAGAGAAACAACAATATCTGTTATTGCTGACGATGCATAATTTCAGTGGCCCAGCAAGGGCATCCTAATTATTTACCTGGCATAACCTTTCATGTGAATGTAAGAAATCTGTTTAAGAGAGGTCACTGAAGCCTCCTTTGTAAGAGCAAAGAAAAGAGGGCAAATGTTTAACAACAGGAACATGAATACATTGGTTATACAGAGAGGTACTGCACTCTGATGAAAGAACATTTGTCCACCCGGATATATCCCCAAAACAACCTTGGAAGGAGAGATAATTACAGAAGAATTTGTACAGGGGGCTGGGGATGTGGCTCAAGCAATATCGCACTCACCTGGCATGCGCCCAGGTTCGATCCTCAGCACCATATACAAAGATGTTGTGTCCGCCAAAAACTAAAAATAAATATTAAAAAAAAGAATTTGTACAGTAAACTTTTATTTAAAGTTTCAGCTGCACATAAACATATGTTCTATGGATACATATATGTAAATGTACAAAATATGAATATAAAAACCAAATTTAAGAGACTGGTTATATGGAGGGTGGTGGCTGTTGACCAGGAGACTTCAAGGATGTCTATAATACTTCCTAGTAAGAGGAGGAGGCATATAGAGTAGATAGTAGGCATGGAGTAGATAGTTGACATTTGTTGAGGTCCAGTCTGCTTAAAGCGTTTTAATATATGTCAATTTATTAACATCTCATAACAGCTCTGTGAGGAAAGTTCAGTCTTCAAGTCATGGAACTGAGATGGCCAAGGCCACATGGCTGGGGACCAGTGAGAGCCATTTGATCTGGGCGTCAGCTCCAGAGCCCCTACGCATGGCAATGATAGCTCAGCCAGACCTAGGTGGTAGCAAAGGTATTTGCTACAGTAGACACTATGCTTTTTTATATGCATGACATATGTAATAGCTACAATGAAGACTATGTTGGAATTCAGAATAGTAGGGCATTTGCTTATTTGTGTGTTTTTCTAATAGAATTGTCCATCTGGAAGCAATCAGGTAAGAGTCCATATTAAGATGCAATTTAATTTAGGATTTTTCATTTTTTTTAACATACCTCCTTGTTAATAAGTAGCAATAAACTTCATTTAGTGGTTGTCAAACTCCTTTATGATTTCATTCTCACATTATTGTTAGTTAAGGGAGAGGGAACTCCTCTAATGGACTTAACATTTCTTCATTTTATTTGGGATAATCAAAATAAGCTTTCGAGGACAAATTGTCTCCTGGATCTATAGGCATTTCACTAAGGAGCAGATGAGAGCATAGCAGATTCAGAATGATGGCCTGGTTCCAAAAAGATGAATTCTAGAGGTTCTTAAGGAAGCTAAAAATCACTTAACTTTTCATGGTTTTATTTTTTCAGGCATCACAGATTGCAGCAGAAAATATTGGAAGTGAATTGCCAGCCAGTGCCACTCGATTTAGGCTAGATATGCTGAAAAATAAAGCAAAGAGATCTTTAACAGAGTCTTTAGAAAGTATTTTGTCCCGGGTAAGTGGTTTAATTTCTTCTGATTTAAGTTAAATCACTTTTTAAGAAAGTGTAAGATTTAATTCTATGCTTTTATTATATCAGTGTTAATCATAAAGTATAAAAAAATGTACAAGCTTTTTTATGTCTTCTGTCTTAAAACAATATTATCTACATTTTAAATTTGTTTTTAAATGTCAGTCTTTTTTGTTTTGGTACTGGGGATTGAAGTAACCCTGTGCCAGGGGCCATTAACTACTGAGCCACATCCTGGCTCTTTTTACTTTTTGTTTTGAGACAGGATCTTGCTAAGTTGCTTAAATCCTCACTTAGTTTCTGAGGCTGGTTTGGAACTTGTGATCCTTGTGCCTCAGCCTCCTGAGTTGCTAGATTACAGGCGTGCCCCACCATGCCCAAGGTTTAAAAAGATATATTCTCCAACCTTTTGTATTCTATTCCATGGGATTTTTTTTTTCCCTCCCCAAATAGTGTTTTTCACTGGCCAGTCCTTGAACAGAGCACAGATGATATATTTGGTGTGGGTTCTGTTCTTCCTGGTGTTACTAGTGACACCTTAAAAAACCAGATTCTGTGGGCTCCTGTTGTTAAGTGTTTGGAACTGTATAGAGGGGTCTGCCACCCACCTCCTGTTGGTGAAGTAGTATTGGAACACAGTCATGTTCTTTCATTTTTCTATTTTCTAAAGCTGCTTTTTTGCAAAATCAAATACTTGCCACAGACAAGATATTACTCAGAATGCATAAAATATTTACTTTCTGGCTGTTTACAGAAAAAATTTACCAACTACAGCTGCATAGGAAGAGCAAAGTACACATACGCATCCATCTGTGATTTCTTTAAGAAATTATTCCCTCCCACCACCACCAACCCATTCCAGGAGTATACATAGCCTTGATAGCACATCTGAAAAATCAACATTTGATTTTTCTGTCCAAGTTTCACACCTTTTTGAAGCTTGCACTATTTTATTGTGGTTCTTTGTGATTTTATGACAAATCCCCTTTGAGACGTACTTTATTTACTTAAAGAAAATTAAAATGTATTTTGTTTGAGAATATTTCTGACAAAATTTGTAACATCCCCTGAAATAATTAAACATCTCCTGAGATAATTAAAAACTGTCCATTTATAAAACAAGGGTTAGAAGGGCTGCATTCGAGAGTTTCTAGAGGGATAAAAAATAGGTTTCAGGGTATGGGCAGCTGGCTGGTTATGATGATATGTGACTTGGGAGAGAACAATTGAGAGTGCTTGTTTGAGTACTTGCTTTTCTTTGTACATGGATTGTCTTTTTCCAGCCTATTTTTCCTGCCAAAGGACTGATCCTCAGTGTGTTGGAATGTTTAGCCTGATGTGGTAATTAAAACAACAACAATTAAAAAAAAAAAAAAAAACAGAAATGTTGATTTTTTTTTTTCTTAATGTCCGTAATGCTTAGCAGCAATTCTCAATGGATGCTTTTTTCTTGAGTTTATATAAATTAGACCAACATGCGTGTGGCTGATGCCTTTGCATAAGCCTCAGGGCTCATAATTCAACTGTCTTTTCTTCATATAGGGTAATAAAGCCAAAGGCCTGCAGGAACACTCTACCAGCGTGGATCTGGACAGCTCTGTGTCTAGCACATTAAGTAACATCAGCAAAGTAAGCACATATCTCTTTTTATGACACTGGAGAAACCAAAAGTTTTTGCTCATCTTCTAACTATAGGTCTCTATTGAAAAGAACAAAAAAATATCCTCATACCGCCAATTCCCCCCAAAATTTGGTACTTCCAGCCTTCTTGGTGCAGGTGGAGGGGCTGGTCATGTAGTTCTACCATGACAAAAGTTTTACATTAAAAAGCAGATGCTGTTCCATAAACAAAGAAATAAGATCACAATTTTAGACAATTAAGCTCTAATTCATCACAATGTAGCAAATGAATTTTCTTCCCAAGTAGATTTTTTAGTAATAAAAATAATTAAAATAGAGCCTCAAAAGGGGGTTTGTGAATTCAGAGAAATATACAACTTAAATTCCTGAAACTTTAATTTATCCTCTAGCTGGCCCCATGATTGTAATCATTAATGTTTTCCTAAATAAGCATCTGCCACCAAGCACAATTATAGCAGTGAACAGTTCTCTTTGATAACAAACATGGATATAGGTCCTTGTCTCATATCCTTCTTCCTAGATATTTAGGCATATCTGAACCTGATTCAACATCATAACGCCCAAAAAGTGGGGTTTGGGGTTTTGCTGAAGAGGCCAACTTTTCTTTCTGTTATTAGAGTATGCTCTGATGCAAGAATGAGGAATTTTGTGGAGGCCAGCTCCTTACCACAGGAATGGTTTAAATTCTTCTGTGATCTCTTCTAGATATGTGGCTTTCAAAGTTTTTAGGCCATAACCAAGAATAAGGAACACATTTAATGTTGTGATGTAGTTCACAAACATGTTTCTACATACACATGAAATTGAAAGTCCACAAAATGGGTATTTACTTTGAATAGCATGTTATATATACTTGTATTTTTTTGGCCTTTTTTATTTAGTGTGTATCAAATGAAAAGGTAGAATTGGGTTCTCCATTCCACCATTAAATGAACTCATTGCTTTTCTGTCTAGTTATACTGATGTATCTGACCCTCTTAGAAATTTTAGTAGGGGCCTGCTGGTATACTTTGTCTTATTTTGTCATTTGATAAAAATGTATTGGCCACTGCTGTGTCCTGGATGCAGTGCTGAACACTAGTGTGCATAAGTGGTAATGGTTCATTCTCTCAACAGCATCTTAAAAAATACAGTGTTAAAATGTTGTTGTGATTATTAATGTTTGAAAACTCAGTCCTGTGCAGTCCTTAATGAAGCAATAACTTGCATTTGTATAATATTTTATAGTACACAGAATACTTCAGCTGTATTATCTTATTTGTTTTTTTGAAATAGGTAAAATTTCACTGTACTTTCTTATCTGTAGATAAGAAAGTGAGGTACAGGAAGAAGTTGTGTGCTTTCTTCTGAATCATGACAATTACCTATAGAGAGAGATTCTATAATCTAAAAGTAATATAAGATGTAAATTTTAACTTCAAGATTACCAAGTTAAACCTCAGCACTAGATCAAATTCAGAGAGAGCCTTGAGGTGTGAGTAACATTTGAACATGCTTGGCAAAGATAAAGAAACTTGATGAAACAGCAGAGACAGGGGAACAGCACTTGTGCTACTTACAAGCAATAGGAGAGTCCAGTTTTCCAGGGCGAGGGAACTACTTATAGTGTTTCTACTCAGGACAGCTGTGTTATGGATGATGATCTTTATTCTTGCTTTTGGGCATTTCCACCATTTCTTCAGCAAACTAGCATCTTGTCTCTGGCAAGCAAGTATTTAATGGATCTTTATGTCATACTTTTGGTGGCCACTAGAAAAAGTTCTAATCAAATGTGTCTGCAATGTTTTTCTGCACTGGGATGAGAGATTTCTAAATCCCACAAATCCCCCATAGAGTGTCTGATCTGCTGTCTGTCTGCTACCAGGAGCCGTCTGTGGGTGACAAGGAGGCCTTGCCCATCTCTGAGAGTTCCTTCAAGCTTCTTGGCTCTTCGGATGACTTGTCCAGTGACTCGGAGGGCCATTTCACAGAAGAGCCTGCTTCGCTTTCCCCCCAGCAGACCTTCAGGAGGCGAGCAAACACCCTGAGTCATTTCCCGGTGGGATGCCCAGAACTTCCAGAGCCCACTCAGGGCTCTCCAGGGGTCTCTCAGAGAAAACTTATGAGGTATCACTCAGTGAGCACAGAGACGCCTCACGAACGAAAGTAAGATTTGTTTAAAACATAAAATTTGTTGTGTAAATAGTTGGGATGTGTCTGACTAACCAGGTAGGCGGGTCTGGGGGATGCTCACTGGGTGAAAGAGAAACCTGAGTCAGGTTTACTCTTGCTTTAAAAAGATAAAACTGGCAGCAGTGATGTGTTCTCAGTTCCCCTAGGAAGTGTGCAGATAAGAGATGATTGCTACTTGTTCAAGTATGGGTATTGTCAGGGAGTAGGTAAACTAAGCAGAACGGTCCTTAACATGTAGCTGGTATCTTGGTAGCTGATCTTTACCAAATTGGTAAGTGGGTGAGCAGATTCTCATTTGGAAACCTAGAAGCAAGCTGTGCTAGAATTGAGGCACAGTATTCATACAGGCAGAGTGGGAAAGACAGGCCTTGGATACTGGGGTGGACTCAGCAGCCTGGGTCCTGTCTCTAGATCTGTCTTAAGCTGGTTGTGACCCGGGAAAACCTTGGAATAGATGTTGTCTAAAATTTCTTGCACTCAGAATTCTGGATTCTTGTAACAGGTTTACAAAGTTTAGTAATTGGGCTTCAAGTGAACAGTTGGAATTTTCTGGTTATAAAGAAGGGTGAAGAGCATGGTGACAGAAGTTTTCCCTGTTCCTTCCAGGCACCTTAGTGATTAATCTTAAGTGCCAGAGACTATGAATAGATGTTGAGTAGATACAGAATACCTCTAAAAATCTCTTAAAAGCCCTCAGAGGTAAGTATGAATTAGGGCCATACCTGTAAACAGTGGCTGCCTTCCTCTGGTGACAGCAGCAGCTCCAGGACACACGTGGGGCTTGTCTATAGTTTGTCCACAGGTAGAGGAGGTTGATGCAGCCGCATGAGTCTGTGCAGTGGTGTTTGAAATGTTTCAAGAAATGACATGCATTCATCATCTGGGACTCATGTAGCAGAGCCTGTGGGCAATGTTCTCAGTCACCCATTGGAAAGCATGGCTGGTTCTTTGAATTCAGCTGGACAACTGTGATCACAGAAGGAGGTCTTCTGCCAGCAACTATTTAATAAATACATCGAGAGCGGCACAGCCTGCTTAGCCACATAGGTTTTCATTGTTTCCCAACACCCTTTCCATGTACTGCTTCCTCTCTGCTTAAACTCCTGTATACCCCCTCCTCTGTTTCTGGCATTTTTGGTGGTAATGGAAGCCCTCCCACCTGGAAAGTCCTGGTTCTCTTGACAAGTCTTCTTTTGCACACAGCTCAAGGTGCCGCAACTTAGTTTCACCATTTTTTCTTTCTCCTTTAAGAAGGTAGCTTTGTGCAGGATCATGTCTGACATTGATGATGAGAAGATATGGGGCAGGGAAATGTCTGACTTTCTCTCTAGAATGGTCATCTTGCTTTGTTTCCCTCTTGCAAACCATTTTCTCCTGTCTGTAGGAAATAAGACATTGAAATTCAGGGCAGGATACTGTTTCAAAAGGAGATGTGTTTTTAAAACCTTAGGTATTTTTTTTTTTTTTTTGCTTTTGTTTTTGTTGTAATTTTAGATTTTTTTCCTGTGAGTTGCCAGAAATGGAGTAGAGAAAAAAAGTCTAATAACACTGGGAGCATAGACAAGTGGGAAACGATCAAGAATGGCCTTTGGTACACAGTGTTTTTACTAGAAATTGCCTCTGCAGGGGAGAGCAGAGATGAAGAGAAGTGGAAAGAAGCCCTGTGCTTCTGTATAGTTTTTACTGAGACATAAGACAAGGCAGCCGTCTATGCTCCTTCCCTTTGCTTCCTTCCTTCCTTCTTCCTGCTGCAATCCTCCCCTCTGCCTCCTTTCCCCCTCTAACCCCGTGCTCTCTCCCATTGCTGTTTAGCGTGGACCATCCACCCGTGGGCGAGTCTAAGCCTTGCTCAGGCCAGCCTTCGGCGCCTGCTCCTCCACTTCGTCTTAACCCCTCCGCCTCCTCGCCAAACTTTTTTAAGTACCTAAAACATAATTCCAGTGGAGAACAATGTGGGAATGCTGTGCCGAAGAGGTGAGCACACTCGCATGGCAAGCTCAGTGTCGTTTGTCTTTGCTGGGAGTTCACGCTGGCTGAGCACTTGCCCTTTGGGGGTCGGGGGGATGGCCACACAGCACTTCCCAACAATCACTTGTGTGTGTGTGTTTAGTTTTGTTTAGAATGGATCTCACTGTTAAATTTTGCTATTAATTTTTTGAACAATATAAAAGTAATCTTGATGACAGACTGTGTATGTACTTAGTTTCATATTCCCCTGCCCTTGGTGTGCACATACAGACACAGTTGAACAGCTTTGTTTAACTGTGTTCACTACCATTTGTGCCATATCAGAAACTTCCTGATTGTCAGGAAAATTGTGTTTTTTTTTTTTTTTTTTTTTTTAATTTCTTTTTCTCCCTAGTATGAAAGGAAGATTCATTTGGAAGGTGGACATATTTTTAAAAAAAATTCATTTATTGATTCCATTCATTTAAAATTGAATCTTATTGACAGAAAATGAAAGTTGAATCTTATTTGTAAACTATTTTTAATTTCTTACCTGGTCTACCTAGCAGTAGAATGAAAATGTGTATTTTTTAAAATTCTGAAGCTTGTATTTTTTTACTTTGTGTGTTTATATTTCTTTATCCTAAACTCTTTTTCTGACCAAACTCTCAGCATCTCGTACCGTAATGCCCTGCGGAAAAAACTTCATTCTTCCTCCTCTGTGCCAAATTTTCTAAAATTTCTGGCTCCTGTAGATGAAAATAACACCTCTGACTTTATGAACACAAAAAGGTAGGGTTTGAATTAGATATATCAAACCTGGATGTTATAGTGTTGAATTGTCAGATATATAGGATTATTTTAATTTCTTATGCCATTTAAAAAATCATTTGAGCTAAATCTATTATATCTTCTTTCTCATACGTTTTTTTCTTATTGGATGTCTTTTTAAAAATGTTCAGTTGACCTGCTCTCCAGTTTTGACTGAAGTTTTCTTATTAATGTCATCTTCAGTAGATTCAGTGTGAAGCAGGGCTCTGAGAGCAGTGCTGCTGGGTGGGGCGTTTGTGGCTGTCCTAAATTAACGTGTCTCATCTATACGTTGGGGAGATAGCTTCGTTGTGTGTCCATATTTAAGGGTAAATTACAACTACCTCCCCAAGTGGTCCTGTGAATAGGAAGGAAGTTTAGGATTAAATTGTATTTATAATATTGACAATTATATTTTGTTTTGTAGTTTTAAATACAAAGCAGTCACTGCCAGCAAGCAACTGCACAACTGTTGCCTAGATGGTTCTACGTAGCTAAACTCAGTTTTTCATTTTTGGTGGCAGTTTTGGTGATGTAGACCCAATGGAGGCTTGTGCTGAGAACACATGGATGGGGTCCTGGGGCTCTGGTGATAGCACCCCCTGTAGGCAGCTTCTGTTTTCTGAAGTGGCACCAAGGAAGGCCCAGCTGGAAGCTGTGACCTGTGGAGCATTTCTTAACACCTTTTCCAAGAAATTGTTTCCAAATAGAAATTGTTTCAGGGTGTGCGTTCTCGCTCTTTTCATGCACTGTAGGAAAGTAGTCCTTTAGGAGTATTGAGCACTGTGAGCATGCTGTAACTGGTATGACTATCAATTTTTTATGCAAAAATAACTGATAATTTAGTGTTCTGCTTTTAAAAAAACAATTTAAAAGAAAAACAGTAATGATTTCCTATCACTCATAAATTCATTACCTTGTAATTTTAGGGACCTTGAATCCAAAGCAAACCACGTTGGTGACTCTGGTGGGACCCCAGTGAAGACCCGGAGGCACTCATGGAGGCAGCAGATATTCCTGCGTGTGGCCACCCCACAGAAGGCATGCGACTCCCCTGGCAGATACGAGGGTAAGGCCACCCTAGAGGGAAATGGAGGAAGAGTGTCAAGAACCAGGAGGCCCCTTGTGTTGGCGGAGGGCAGAGAGCTGGCCACTTCGGCATCTGTGAGGCTGAGGCAGCTCCAAAGTTGTATGTGGGGAAGGACATTAAAACTCACTTAGGGTTATAGTGCTCCCACGTTCAGGTGCTCAAAGCCCAGGTGGTGGTGGAGGCCCCACTTAGATGCCAGCAGCCTTCCCCAAATAGGAGCTGTGAGCTAGAACAGGCTATCTAAATTAATTACTTGCAGTCTGGGATTAATTATGCCTTTTACCACACCAATTGAACCAAAGGAGCATGATGTCATTACTCATACGTTTTTATAAAAATATTTGAAATTCATAACATTGGAAATAAAAATCAAATTGAATGTTTCCAACAGAAAGTTCACTCCTGTGATATAGAGGTCCCTCTGTGCTCCTGGCACTCAGCTTCTCTTGTCTTATCCCCTCCTTGTGGGGGCACCATGGGTGGAGTGGCCACTCTGCCAGCACCTTCCTGCTGTGGCCCCTAGTGGAGCTACTGTGCTGGGTAGAGGGATTTTGATTCTTCTCCCTGCCTGCCTGGGCAGGGATAGGAGTGCCTCAGTCTTCCCATGCCCACTGGAGGAGCCCACAGGCTGCAGAGGGAGGGGGAAGCTGCCCTGGAGGAGGAACTGAGCATGTTGAAGATGTGGGTTTTAAAATGTTTAGTGCAGTGCAGGTGCTCAGCTTGTGGGTGGTGCTCCACAGCTCACCTCTGACCTGCACATGCCCTTGGCTTCAGCCAGAGATGCCCAGCATGTGCTGGTGGCTGTGGCTGGCTGTACTTCAGTTACGAAGCCTCCCCCTACAGGGAGTTCCCACAGGCTTCTGCCTCAAGTGGGTGTGCTCAGGTGTCTCCCTATTGGTCTGGCACTGAATGGAAAGTACAGTTCTGAGTGTCTGTGTGGACTTAGGTGCTGTCAGTCTCTCTCTCCTCCTTCCACATTAGTTAGTATTGGGACTGGAGTGTGGAAGAGGGGAGGGAGATTGATTTCTGTTTGACTTTTCTTCTCCCAAATCAATTGTCTCCCAAATCAGTTCATTCTGTGCCACTGTCTACTCCCCATCCTCAGGGCACAGAGATGCCAGAGCCTTCTGCTGTGGTCTGTGACTACTCCATTTGGTCCTCTGAGGCTGAGGGAAAGACAAAGACAGTTGAGAGGCCCTGGGGCTTCTTTCCCCAGAGGTCCTAGGGAGTCTGTGCTGTGCTTCGCAAAATCTCTGCTTCTGGTCAGTGTTAGTGGCTCAACCCATGGGCAGCTGAGGCTCATGTCTTGGGCCTGAAGGTCATACATGTGTGCTGTGGAGAAGCATAAATCGGTGTCTGGTGCTCAGAATGACGGGCCATTCTGCATTTGTGTTCTGCTGGTGTACACTTCAACTAAACAGCCAGGAAGCCTGGAGGTGAAAAACTTGAGGCAGAGGTACTTGTACTGTCCTTTCCTTTTCATCCCACTCAGAAAATACTACTAGAACCAACCACCAGAAATTTAAGATCCACTGTTTGCTTAGCAATAATAGCACTACTGAAGGATAAATAGGATTGTTTGTAATTTGGGAGTTCTGATTATGAGATAAGTGAAAACCTGGCAAGAAGGGTATTAGTAAGGAGAATGGCTCCAACTAAATATTGAAAGAGGAAATAGGGAGTCGAGCAATGTGGATGGAGGTGGAGAGATTAGACTGTGCAAATATCATCTCCAACAGAGTTAACTTGTCCCTTACTCAGGGGCGTGTGACTTTTTCTAGATACAGTCTCCCTGTGAAGTAATTAAGTTGCAAGAATCTGAATTTTACACTTTGGAAACCTGTCTGAATGAGGTGGGAGGTTAATCGGTATTTAGGAATTTACTTGTTTGTCTAATACCTGCAGGCAAACATTCCCAAATCCATCAGACTTTTTTTCTTTTAATTTTTATTTTCCAGTGCTGGGGATTTGTGAGTACTAGGCAAGTGCTGTACCACTGAGCTATATCTCCAGCCCCTCACCCCAAGAGTCTGATCTTATTTGTTACTCTTAAAAATGTTATTTTTGACAGGACTCAAACTTAGAAGTAGAAACCCTTAGAGAGGACAAGCCTGTGTCTCTTGGCAATTGGTTCCCGGCATTTTTCTTTGGCTTTCATTCTCTTGGCCAAAAGTTCAACATATTCTGCAGCCTCTTCCTTATTCTTCTTGGTACACTATTTCCTCAGAGCAATCTGGTGCTTGTGTTGCAGGACACATGGAGTAACAAGATGCTGAATCTTCAGTGCTTTGGTCCTGGGTTTTTTGCCTTCCTTTTTTAAGGGTTTTCTGACCACATATTGGTAGACACTATCTTCCTTAAGAGAGGTTGAAAAGTTTGCAGATTTTATTAGCTTTTTGGATCCCAGTTTATGAGGTGCAGTAGTATCTGTAAGTCCAGGAATATCCTTCTCTTCTTTTTTTTGTGATAACCAAGTTGAGAATGCTCAGATTACATCCACAATGCAACCTCAAACATATTTGCGCTTTCTCTCTCCTGTTCACCTTGGTCCATAACAGGAATGCCCCTTACTCAGTAGCAAGTGAACATAGCCAAGGGTCAGGACACCTTGTTCCATGGGGAAACCTTGTTTGTCCTTCCTGCCACCGATTCAGACCACATAAACTTCCCATTCTTCACCCAGAGCATCAGCAACAACTTCTGTGGCTGTATACTTTTCACAAAAAGTATGAAGTAGGCACTCATCATCTACTTCATTGAGTTTCTGGCAGCCAATAGCTGGGAAGGAGATATTCAACATCATCTTGGAGCAGCTGATCTCCCATAAAGCACCACAAAAAAGAGCTCTGTTTTCTTTTTTTTAATTCAGCAGTGACCAGTGGTCTTTTGTAAGAATTCCAGTGGGGTTGTAGCTCAGTGGTAAAGTGCTTACCTAGCTTGTGTGAGGCCCTGGATTCTATCCTCAACACCACACAAAATAAACAAATAAAATAAAGGTATTATGACCACCTACAATTAAAAATAGTAAAGAAAAAAAAAAAGCCAGCTTTAAGTTAGCAAGGCCTGAGACAGCAGGATTTAATTCTGAACCTCCAAGGGGTAGATCTCTTTTCTCAGGCAGGCACTAGGTCAGGTGCCCAGCAGGTTCTACACAAAAGGGAAACTGCATTATAAGTAGGAAGTCACCAATTTTTACTCGAACACTTGGCAAGACAAATGTTTTTGTAACAGAACAAACACAGATCATGAAATAAATAGGATACTAAAAGCTACATGGTGCCTTAAATTTAAAGCACAGGGCTCACGATGCTTTAAGTTTGTGGCAGCCATTTACAGTAATTGCTGTAGAAACCCAGGAAAGCATGTTGTCCCTTCTTGGTGCTGTGGGTTCTTTGGGTGAAAGATTCTGAGAATTTGAAAGGACCATACTTGGTAAAGTATTCACTCCACAGAGGGGAGTGCTAGTCAACCATGGCGACGCCGTTGCAAGGTTGGGAGTGTGTTTGGGGCACAGCCAAGGGCCCCGAGTGCTTGCCCTCTTTCAGAGTCTTGCTGATGAGCTACCCAGCCATTTGCTGAAGGCAAGCAGGGGAAATGCTGGCATCCCTGTGAGACCTCTGGGAATCTAGTTAAAAGGCAGATTCTGATTCAGTAGGTCTAGGAGGGTCCTGAGCATCTCCATTTCTGAAAGCTCCCCAGTGATTCTCATGTATCTGGTCCACTTTGAGCAGCAAGGGCTTACTTACAATAAGCAGCTGCAGTAGGTCCAATCCAGATCTTCTAGTCTTGGTCTGTGCCTCTTCATTAGGCTGCTCTGGGACTCAAGGGACTTCCTGTCTCAATCCTCAAATCATTCTGGATTTATCAGTGACGTTTTGTTTTTTCCTCTTTGCCTTGCTGGGGATGGAACCCAGACCTTGAGCATGCTAGGCACATGCTGTACCAAAGAGCCACACCCCTAGCCATCAGTGACCCTTTTTCTGAGAAGTGTTATAGATCTGGAGAAGCAAAGAGCCAGTGTGGTGGGGGAAATGCAGTGATAAGAAACACGTGATAGTAGATAGGAAGGAAATTTGATGATGTGCCAAATGAAACCAAACCTGTGGTGCTTTGCCTTTCTGCTGCCATTTCCCACTGTGGGGAGTTTGGGCTCTGGATGGTACTGAGGGCACAGGACGCTGCAGGTGTTTGCTTTCTTACCCCTGATCTAACCTAATTGTCAGGCCAGCTACCAAGGCTGAAAATCAGCTTCTAACTAGAGATTTGACGGTACTTACATTCCATAGCCTCTTTTCCCAGTATATCATACTAAAGAAAATTCATTATTGTTAAGAAATAATCATTATATAATTGATACATAATAATTTAACATATTACATATATGTTAATATATAATTGACTCCATGAGACAAAGGAGCTGGTCTAACTTTATATTTTGAAATCTCTCCAGGTGTCTGTGGTGCCCAGTGAAAAATTGAGAACCACCAATGAAAACAAAAGGGTCATGTAATGATAATACAACATAATATATTATACGGCAAAAGGCAGATCTTTTGTTAACCTGTGTGCCAGGGAACAATTTTAGTCTTAATCTAATATCTAATACTTCTCATTTAAGGATTTCAGATTATGTTGTGCATTTTACCAACAACAGAAGCTTTCAAAGTTTCATGCCTTGGGGAAAAAAAGAAAAAGACCGAAAACCTCTTTTCATAGAGATAAGAACACTGTACAAGCAAATAGTCCAGTGAATAAAAGTTCAACGGTTTTCTGTGTTTTGAGTACTGCTGTATTAATATGCCCCATTTATGGTAAGGTTAAGTAAGTCTAGTAAACATTAGATACAATTTTGGATATAAACAGTAATGAGAAAAGCAAAGTATATAATCTGAATGTTATGATGACTATTATTGTAAAAAAAAAAAAGTCAAAGCATTGTATGGCTGTGATTTTTGTTGTGTATAGCCAAATTTGCAGGA